AAAAAAACCGTTTCCTTTTAGGAGAATTATTGGAGTAACACTTGATTAATTTAAAAACTAACCTATATTAGCCCTTAATTTAAAACTATTTTAATATACTTCTTGTGCCCAATATTTGTTGATAGAGTTCTATTTTATAGTTTTTTTCTTTTTTAACAATCTTGAAGCATTACTAAAATGGAAATTAATTTAGCACATTTTAAAATATTATGAAATACAACTTTTAGTTGCATGAATGCAATAATATCTTAAATCTTTGTATACTGTTTTTTTGGTATTATTCTTATCATAATCAAGCTTTTTCTCTCAATATATATTTAGAATGTGAATTGTATAAGATTTATAAAGTATATTCTACAACTAAATCTTTCAGCATTTATCATTTCTAAGTTTTTTAATCTTCTTATTTCTTGAGAGTCATTATATTCTAATATTCACAAAATAATATTTATCTCAACTCATATTTAATTAACAGTAATGCTATTATTTTTTTATTAAATTGATTTTATAAACTTTTAATTTTAACAATGTTATTGAAAAATTTTTATTAGTAAAATACCTATTTTGGAAATTTAAGAGAAAATACCCATGCATTTAAGTGTGACAAATATTAATGCTTTTTTATATATTTAAATAATAAATCGTTCAATTTATCTTAAGTGGTTGTTATAGAGAAGATAAATTTTATTAAGATTGTTCATTGTGTTAATCAAATACCAATAAATATTTCCTTTTTAATTCTACAATTTAGGTGCAATTTCTGAATTTAATTGTAAAATATAACCAGTTGATGAGTTTTTAAAGACTTATAGGATATTATTTTTGAATAGATATTGATTAATTTTGTAAAAAAATCATTTTGAAGGGACAATAGTGATTATACATTGAGTAATAACTGTTTATTATTTGATGTATGTAAAATTTCACGTTGAGCTCAAGTTAATCAATAATTAAGATTTATATATAATGCGGTTAGAGAAGATATAATTATCTCCTTAAATCTTAATAATTTCAAAATTATAATATTTGTTAATATTTTTTTCAAAGTTTTTTTAATATCTTATCAATTAACAGGTGATTGATACATTATCTTGGATAGAGAGTAGTGTTAAAATTAAACAATATGATATTGTTATAACTTTGTTATATAGTTTAGAAGATTAACTTTAATTTTTTTAATCTTTGTCATATTTTTTTTATTATTATCTTTGTTATTAAATATATCTTTTACTATTTATAAACTAATTTTACAAAATTATTAATTATATCAATTAAGACTTATGTTTATAAATAGTAATAAATTAAATAAATTATCAGAATATCTTATGAAATAATCATACAGTTTTTTGTTAAGTTAGTTTTCAATTAAGAAATTAAAAATAATCTTTATTTTAATCTCTTCATTTAGCTTACTGTTCTTTGTTTGGATTATTAATTTAAATGTAGTATCATTTAACATTAAATCTCTATAAATATTAATTAATAACAGTTTTTTTTATAAGGACATCTCAATAAATATACCCTACATTTCCTTAAAATGGAATACTTTTGAAAAACTTGTATGAATCTTGATTAATCTAAATTAAGAATAAAGCCAAAAAAAAGATTTTATTAAAAAAATATGAAGAATAAATTAAAATAATAATTGTAATTGTTGTTAATGAAAAATAATTATCACTTTTACTTAAGGTCTTCCAAAAAGCAACTACCTTTGGATTTGAATAAAGGTTTTAAATCTTTTCCTTAATGGTTCATAAATTCTCCTTACAATATAAGTGTACCTCTTGCTTCTAATAAAGGATTCTAACAAATCCTAAGTATTGTACGATCTGGCTCAACTAAATAATAATAAATAACAAATACCATTTGGTAATAATGAGCTACTCTAAAGTGGTATTTTAAATTATGCAAGAATATCTTTGTAGTTTTTATCAGAGGATTTAATTTCTTATCCTGT